TACCCTAACACCACTTTTTAAACTTTGATGATAGAAAACAGAACTTTTTTTTATCATTTCAAAGGAAAGTGCCAAAAGTTTTTCTAAATTAGGGCTAGAAGACAGAATGGCTAATTTTATATGTCTGGTTAAAAATTAGAAAGTCTCAAAGGTAAAGTCACAAGTATGTGAACAATCCCAGAATGTTTCTATTTCTGTTCAAGTACCAAAGAGGGCAGTAAATGAATGAATGTGTTCATCTTCACTTTATGATCAAAATGGTCAATGGGAGGTAAGAAACCTAAAAATTACTAAAACAGAAATGTTTATTTCCTGTACAACCTGACACCTACTGAAAATTCTATAGAAATTCATCCAATCTTAATATCAGAAGAATTTTCTTCAGCCAGTTCTAATTTTGAAAAAAGGAAAGAAAAGCTACAGAGTCCATTAAGAAATCTTAATTTCCATTAAGACAATGAATAATGTGAGAATATGGACTTAATAGTGTTTGCCTAGGAAAAAGGTAAATAGCTAGCTCCAAATTCTTTTTTAAAAATTGAACTCTTTTTTTTTGTTGTTGTTAAAAAAGGAAAATGTCCACTTAGTATAAATACTAACAAAGGCTCTGTATTTTTTTCACTCCTCCAAATCTCTGGAATAATGGCTGCCAACTAAAACACCTACTATGAATTTAGTAATGGGTTATGCAAACATAAATTATAAGGCCAGGCATTTTAGAAGGAAAAAACATGGTGATTTATCGAGGCACTGGAGACACGGTAGGAGTGAAGCAATATTTCAATTCTCTATGTATTCCTCAACACTACAGATGTGTTCATGCAAAAATCATTTTAAAATGAAAATGACTCTTGGCTCTTCTGGTTCTAATCTATCAGTTCATTTACTTGAAAAGGGTTATCAATGAATTCATTTCCCACACTTATAATTGAGAAAATTAATATAAAGTCAAATATTTTATCAAGTTTTAAATATGAATGGAAAGCGTGTCTCAAGATCTGGTTTCAGTAAAAAGAAAAATACAAACCTCACATCTCCTTAGAGCAGCAAAAAGGGTTAAACCACATTTTCTATTATGTAGTTATTAACCCTAAACCTACTCTGATCCTATTTTTTATTTTACTTTATTTCTATTCACAAATCACTTTTCCTTGTCTCAATTCACTGTTAAGTGAACCAGTATTTTTTTCTTGATTGTGGCAAAGCAATCATTTAAATACGTATAAAAGATGTTTCATGGGTTGTTTATATATAAACAAAATAAATTAAAATATACTTGTCTACAACTTTTAATCCAAGGAAACAGAAGCTATCACTCTTCTCTGAATAGATCATAGGAACTGTACTGGCCTGATGAAATTCCCTGAGCACACATCAACCAGGTGGAAATCTTCATTTTTCTTCACTTTGCCAGTGGCTGACAGCTTCACAAATTGTCATCTTCAAAAGCACATGTAACTGAACGAGCCGATCTCAAGAAAAGGCTTGAAAATGCTGTGCTTGTAAGCGATGCACGTTTTGAAATGCAAAAGCGCAAAAGAACATCTCTGTGCGTATTTCTGGTGCTGTGAATTCCTCCCTGGAGAAGGCTAATTTCAACACACACGCTTGCATGTGATATGGGTTCCTGGCACTTTGATTATGTGAACACACCTGACCCCAGGGAGATAGGCTGAGGCCGGCCCCATATTTCACACAAACCAAACAGCCAATAGATAGTAATGGCTTTAAGCTACTGATGGCCCGGGCCAAAAATGAAGCCACACTTAATCTTCTGAAGGAAACTGTCAATGTTAGGAGGCCCAGAGCCAACCTTTCCCTCTATCTTAATCATAGCCCTATGATAACAGAGTGAGGTTTGTTTTTATGCCTGGCTCCAGACACAATGATTAATCTTTCAATTTTGATGATTTTGTATCCCACACAATGAAACAGAGTAAGTGAAGTCCATGTAGGTAGTTTCCATGGATTCCTCGAGTCAAATATATAGAACGAAATTCACCTACGAATGAAATCTAAAACAATCAATCAAAACTCAACAATGCCTTCTAAAGCCTCTCCAAATCTACAAATTCAATGAGACTCCAATAAAAGCCAATTTAAAATTTCCATCTAAAAAGCAAGAATTCCTGAGGGTCATAGTGGTTCACACCTATAGTCCCAGCACTCTGGGTGGGACTGAGCCCAGCAGTTTGAGACCAACATGGGTAACATAGTGGGGACCCTTCTCTAATACAAATACAAAAATCAGCCAAACACAGTGGCCCGTGCCTGTAGCCCCAGCTACTCGGGAGGCTGAAGTGGGAGGATCACTTGAGCCCTTAAGGTAGAAGTTGCAGTGACCCGAGATCATGCCATTGCACTCCAGCCTGGGCGACAGAGTGAGACTCTGTCTCAAACAAACAAACAAACACCTTCAGGCAGCTTTGCCACTTGTGGGCAGTGAAGCCCTGGGCAAGTTACTCCTCCTCTCTGGGCCTCAGTTTCCCTCTCTTTGAAACAGAAATAAACACTGTACCTGTTTCGTAGGGATCCTGTGAGTGTTAAGTCAGTTAAATGCCTTTTCAGTGTTTAGAATAGTACTAGATATGCAGTAAGTGCTCACTAAATGTCAGCTGCCATTATAAGCTATGATGGCTGTGTCCCTGAAGTTACCGAGCCCTTACAACAGTCTTCCTGGTTCACCCCATTCCACACACAATGGGACTGCCAGGAATATTTGCTGCACATAAGAATGAATTCTTGGAAGGAAAACCCCAAGAGGCAGAGGAAGTGATGCCTTTTAAGAAGAAAGGGATGTGCCTATGTCTTGGGCCCACAGGCAAGACCAACAGGGATAAGGACACCCTTGGAAAAGGGAGGAGCCTCTTGTTGCAAAAACTGTGGCTCTCAGCCACACAGAACCTCACAGTCTCGCTCTGTCATCCAGGGTGGAGTGCAGCGGCGTGATCTCGGCTCACTGCAATCTCTGCCTCCCAGATTCAAGTGATTCTCCACCTCAGCCACCTCAGTAGTTGAGATTACAGGTGCGCACCACCACACTCGGCTAATTTTTGTATTTTTAGTAGAGACAGGGTTTCACCATGTTGACCAGGCTGGTCTCGAACTCCCGGCCTCAAGTGACCTACCCGCCTCAGCCTCCCAAAGTGCTGGGATGATAGGCATGAACCACTGTGCTCAGCACCAACACTTCCTTTCTTAGACTGAACAACAGAGAGGACATGGCTTGCTCAGATCTTGCATTCATTAAGTAGCCGAGTTAGAATCAGAATCTACACTTCCTGATCCAATTATATACTCCTTCAAGGACACTAACTACATAACACAATATTTTCTTATTAAAATACTGGGCCACAAACAAAATTATGAGACTCTGCATAACATGCCAGTCGTGCTCCTCATAAACTCACTTTTTATGCTGTTCACATTTGCAAGTTAAAATGAAAAGCTGATGTTAGTCAATAACATGCTCAGTGATTAGTCCCACCCACCCCATACTCACTCCTGCCCCCTAGCCAAAGAAAGAAAAAACCAAAGACAGCAAGTATCAGAGTTAGCATGGCTTGGCATCCAGTTGTCATTTTCTTGACTGACATAATCTCAAAGTGGAAGGGGAGATTTTCCTATGCTTTGGCTTACAATCAATTCCATAAGTTAAGAAGGCTTTCTTAGGACAATGGCAAATTTTAGGCTATAACAATATGTTCCTTCCTAAGTACACTCCTACAAAACGTTCCCCCTAACATATAGAATCCTTTAAATGAGTATGCCACTTCAAAGAAATACTCAAAAGCAATTAAAAAAAAATCTAATAGAAGAGGAATTGCTAATGGTTCAGTGACTAAAATCTCGGCTTTTGGGCCAGGCGTGGCAGCGCATGCCTGTAATCCCACCACTTTGGGAGGCCAAGGCAGGCAAGTCACCTGAGCTCAAGAGTTCGAGACCAGCCTGGCAACATGGTGAAACCCCATCTCTACCAAAAATACAAAAATTAGCCAGGCGTGGTGGTGGGTGCCTGCAATCCCAGCTACTTGGGAGGCTGAGGCAGGAGAATCGCTTGAACCTGGGAGGCAGAGGTTGCAGTAAGCCAAGATCAGGCCACTGCACTCCAGCCTGGGTGACAAGAGCGAGACTCTGTCTCAAAAAAAAGAAAAAAAAAATGGTTTCTGGAACCTGAAGGAGGCAGGGTGTTCAGGGGTTATATGGCTTCACTCCCAAGAGTCTGTCTGCCCAGGAAAATCCCAGTAGATGGGTGGGTGGCTTACACTCCATCAAGTGGCACTGATGATACTTAGCTCCCAGGGTGACTTCCAGTGGGGCAGAGAAATGATTGTCATGCACTGCCTGGCTCCTAGCAAGTACTCAATAACAAGCACTAATAACAGCTCACCACGATTTCAACCATTTAGCCATTACACCTTAAAAATCATGCTCAACAAAGTTGTTTGCTGAGAAGAGGAAGAGAGTGCTTTTCTGTGCTGAAGTTATTATTAAATCCTACACAGAATGATGTTCTCCATTCGGAATGCCTTTCCGTTGAGGTTATTGACCAGAAAGGCAAGTTATGGGCTGCTCTCAAAGAACAGCTTCCAAAAAGAAAGTCCAGCAGCAAACATTTCCACTCTATGACAGTGAAACTAACACAAAGGGAGAGAAAATAATGTCTAGACACATATGGAAGGTGGCTAGTTTTTATATTACTATATCTATTCAGGTCCAGAATAGAAACTAGGGTATACCCTAGGCTTTAATAATTTTTTTAAGTGTTCATTTATAGCTTTATTTTACTTTTATTTTTATTTATTTTGAGATGGAGTCTCACTCTGTAGCCTAGTCTGGAGTGCAGTGTGCAATCTCGGCTCACTGCAACCGCCATCTCCCAGATTCAAGCGATTCTCCTGCCTCAAACTCCTGAACTCAAGTTATCTGCCAACCTCAGCCTTCCAAAGTGCTGGGATTCTAGGCATGAGCCACCAGCACCCCGCCACATTTATAGTTTTAAAATCCATTTGTGAAAACAATCTCTCAAAACAGTAGATTTTGGTAACATGAACACAATATGCCATTTACTGACCTTCTACTTGGTGCCCGTGTTGTTTTGAATTCCTATAAGAGTTCCTATAAGCCCATAATGACTTCAAGGTCATTGTCATCAGTCCTGTTTTTTGGGATAAGAAAGCAGAGGCTCAGATGTGATAGAACTCAGCACATTTTCAACTAAAATTCCAGGGCACATGAATCTAATGACGGTGCTTCCCTTTCGACAGTTATTCAATTCTTAGATAATGCATCTGTTATACTTAAAATAGCCCTGTAAAAATGGCTGGACACACGAAGGAAGTGACACATGGCTCTCAGGAGGGAAAGGGGATGCTGGCCTTGTTGATGTTTCAGCACGTGGGGGGCAGACAGACAGAGCGGCCATCCTGAGATGTTCCTGGAAGGAAAGTGGGGCTTGCGGGGACTTCAGATGCCACCCGCCACCCCTGGGCCAAGCCTCGCCATGGCTCTGACCACTTCCAGTGACAAGGAACAGAGCAACTAGGAGATTAGCTCCTCATTAATTACTTAAGAATTGCCTAAGAATTAACTACCTAAGAATTACCTAAGAATTTCTGGGCCTTTGGCTCAGAAAACAAACAAACAAAATAAAGTCTCTTTGAAACTCCAGAATTCACTGACTAATTTTTATTTCTTTGTTTGTTTTGAAGATAGGGTCTTGTTTTGACACCCGGGCTGGTATGCAGTGGTGCAAGCATAGCTCACTTCAGCCTCAACCTCCCAGGCTCAAGGGATCCTCCTACCTCAGCCTCCTGGGTAGCTGGGATTATAGGTGTGTACCACCATGCCCAGCTAATTTCTTCATTTTTTGTAGAGTTGGGGTTCTCGCTATGTTGCCCAGGCTAGTCTCAAACTCCTGGTCTCAAGCAATCATCCTGCCTCAGCCTCCAAAGTGCTGGGATTACAGAAATGAGCTACCATGCCTGGTCAATTGAATTTTCTAATGCCCAAATTAAATAGCATTCCTGGTCTCAGAAAGCAGAAAGAATGGGCCGGGGGCGGTGGCTCATGCCTGTAATCCCAGCACTTTGAGAGGCTGAGGCGGGTGGATCACGAGGCCAGGCATTCAAGATCAGCCTAGCCAAGATGGTGAAACCCTGTCTCTACTAAAAATACAAAAAATGAGCCAGGCATGGTGGCATGTGCCTGTAATCCCAGCTACTCCGGAGGCTGAGGCAGAGAATTGCTTAAACCTGAGTGCAGAGGTTGCAGTGAGCTGAGATCATGCCACTGCACTCCAGCCTGGGTGACAGAGCAAGACTCCATGTCAAAAACAAAAACAAAAAAAAACAAAAAAAAAGAAAGAAAGAAAAAGAAAGCAGAGAGACTGAATCTGATGTTTCAAAGTAATTGAGTGGTTAGAGCGCAGGTGATCAGGGCTTTACATGGAAGAAATGTGGGAGACTTCACTGCAAACAACTTGCCAAAGTTCACCGCTCGTTATTTCAAAATTTGCACTAAAGACTCCGTGTGTGTGTGTGTGTGTGTGCTGTGCTGACAGGGATACAAAAAGTCATTTTGCATTCTTAAGATCAAAAAAACATTCTCTGACTCCCCGAAGCACCTTCGCCTGTCCCTTGGAGAAAAATTTAAAAACAACAACACACACACACACATAAAAAACAGCACCACCAAATCCTTTTCAAGGGATGTTAAGGTGTTCTCGGGCTGTGGGAGGAGATGGTGATTAAACATAAGCCAAATACTGTTTTATTACCTACCATGCCTGCCAATTCTCAAAGTGTCAACTACAATGACGCATTAACAAGGGAATGAAATGCATCTGGAGGAGGTGGAGGTGGGGGTCCCAAATGCAGAGCCCTCGGCCCATGAGTCATGGGTCACGTGTGAGAAGGCGTATGGAGCGTCATCACATCTGAAAGGCACTAAAAACTCACAAAAAGCAAAAAAACCTGGACCCAACCTCCTCCATGCCCAGCAATACCCTGTTGGTCCAGCCCCTCACAGATTTTCCTGCAGTGTAAAAAAACACGGTGTATTGTATGGGACACGATGATCATCAGATACATCCAAGCCAAAAAGCAAACTGCAACACAATGTTTGAAAGAATATCAATCCATATGCTCACATAGGCTGTGATTATCTCCAGAGAGATACAGAAAAATCTTTTGACCGTGCTTGGCTGTCTCCAGAGGGGCTGGTGGGGAGAGGGACTTACTCTACAGTGTGTATCTTTGGACTATCTTGCCATTTGCATGCATTGTCTAGCTGGAAAAACTGCACTACCTATTAATTTTTACAATCCTGCTAAATGTGAATGAGTACATACACAAATGGTGATGGGAATAATACTTTATGTAATGCATAGTGTGGGACACGTGAGCCTCTGCATTACGGTCTGCATGTCCACCTGCAAGGGCAGAGGCCTGGAATCCACGGCCTTGTGGGTCTGGTAATGCAAGAAATGAGGCTAGTATTTCCTTTGTCAAAACAACAGCTGTTTCTTGCACAATATGCTGCCCACTGGCCGGGCTCAAGGTGTATGGAGATGGGGGGCGGAGGAAGAGGAGGAGAGCAGAAGTTGGAGGAGGAGGAGGAGGAGGGGTGGTGACGGTGGCCACTGCTCATCACAGAAAACACCACCCAGCCAAGCCAGAACTCTCCTGAGGAAGACAGAGGAGAGCATCCACTCAGAACTATCTAGAACTCCTTTCCAGCTAGAAATACCTGCGGGCCCCTGGTTCCAGGTCCCAGGTCATGGGAAGCCGGCAGGCTAGCAGCAAACCGACAGGCTTAGAACCCGCCACTTGCAACCTAGGTGAAAGAGACAGAAACTTTACTGAGCAAATGTCTGGCAAGGTGAGGCACCTGGAAGCAGAAAATGTGTTTTTATCTTTCCAAGAGATCACGGGGTCACTGACAGCAGGAGGCAATGAGGACCCACATGGGTGAGGCTTCAGTTCCACCCAGCCAGCCCCCTGGCAGCCGTGTGGCCCGGTCCACCTCACACCCCCAGCACTCACTGGAGGGCAACTATCCCTCACCCAAGTCAATGCGACAAGCTAACCAAGAGCTTCCCAGGCGTAAACTCAGCACGTGGGTAAGAAGAGCTTCAGAGGTCAAGGCCTTGCACAGAAAAGCTTCAGAGGTCAAGGCCAAGACTCAGGTCATCCATTGGAGGGCCAAGGCTCAGGTCATCCACTGGAGAGCCAAAGCAAAGGCCAAGGCTCACATCATCCACCACAGGACTGAGGCCAAGGCCCAGGCCCAGGTGGTTCACCACAGGGGCAGGCTGGGCCTATCACCAAGTCGGCCTGGCTGCTACTGTTTCAGGTCAGAAACCAAGGGCTACGTGCACATAGGCATCCCTCATCCTGTGATGCTGGTGTACAGCTAGGGCGCTGTGGATAACTGGAATCCTGTTTTCCTCACTGATTACAATTTCTGGGATGTTTTTTCTCCAATTCTGACAGCTCCTCAAAGGGCTAAGCTCCTAACATTTTAAATTTCTCTCTGCCCTGAACTCCAGCCTTTCTGCCAGGCATTTCAGACGTTATCAAAAAGAAAATTTAAAAAACTACCATGTAACCAGCTGTCTGCTTAATATAAATTGTGGGAAAATTTTTTTCCCAAATAAGTATTCTAATATCACCAGAGAGTCATTTGGATTTGCTCACCATTTTTATTTTTTATTTTTTATTTTTCTGAGATGGTGTCTCACTCTGTCGCCCAGGCTGGGGTGCAGTGGCACGATCTTGGCTCACTTCAAGCTCTGCCTCTTGGGTTCGTGCCATTTTCCTGCCTCAGCCTCCTGAGTAGCTGGGACTACAGGTGCCCGCCACCAGGCCCGGCTAATTTTTTGTATTTTTAGTAGTGACAGGGTTTCACCATGTTAGTCAGGATGGTCTCAATCTCCTGACCTTATGATCCACCGACCTTGGCCTCCCAAAGTGCTGGGATTACAGGTGTTAGCCACCGCACCCAGGCATTTATTTATTTATTTATTTATTTAGAGACAGTCTGGCTCTGTCGCCCAGGCTGGAGTGCAGTGGCACAATCTTGGCTCACTGGTTAACCTTCACCTCCAGGGTTCAAGCGATTCTTGTGCCTCAGCTTCCTGAGAAGCTGGAATTACAGGTGTGAGCCACTATGCCCAGCTAATTTTTATATTTTTAGTAGAGATGGGGTTTCGCCATGTTGGCCAGGCTGGTTTCAAAATCCTGGCCTCAAGTGATCTGTCCACCTCAGCCTCCCACAGTGCTGGGATTATAGGTGTGAGCTACCACGCCCGGCCTCCATTCACAAACATTTACTTGGAACATTCACTACAGACCAGTGTGGTGCCAGGAGATGTAAGGATGACTGAGAAACAGTTCCAGGCCCCAAGAAGAACACCCCCTGGGTCAGGAGGGCTGACAGCTTCTTTGAGTTCCCTCTCAGGGCCACCTAGAGTTCCCCTGCTGAGGATCTGAGCATGACCTGGATGAGGCGCTGCCAGACTCTCATTCCACACAGGACTTCTATGAGAATTATGAGCCCAATGAGATCCTGGACAGGTAAGGCCCAAGCTTTTCCCACGAAGTGCTGTCCTAGGCTCCAGCAGGCCCTGTAGGCTACAGCCAACTCCGCTCCACCCGGAGTACTGAACCCACTTTCATTCCCAAAGTGCTGTCCACTTGAACAAACCCTTGGTTTGGGGTCCTGCCCTCCTGAAGCCAGGACAGATAAGAGAAACCTCTCCCAGCAAAAAGTTCCCAGGGCAGGTGCAATGGCTCATGCCTGTACTCCCAGCACTTTGGGAGACTGAGGCAGGAGGATTGCTTGAGGCCGAGTTCAAGATCAGCCTGGGCAACAGAGCAAGACCCCATATCATTTTTTATTTTTTAGACAGAGTTTCACCCTGTCATCGAGGTTGCCGTGCAGTGGTATGATCTTGACTCACTACAGTCTCTGCCTCCTGGGCTCAAGTGATCCTCCCACCTCAGCCTCCCTAGAAGGAGGGACAGCAGGTGTGTGCCACCACATGTGGCTAACCATCTCTATTTAAAAAAAATAAAAAAATAAAAAACAAAAAAACAGCCAAGCACTGTGGCTTGTACCTGCAATCCTAGCACTTTGGGAGGTCGAGGCGGGAGGATCACCTGAGGTCACGAGTTTGAGATCAGCCTGGCCAACATGGTGAAACCCTATCTCCAATAAAAATACAAAAATCAGATGTGTGTGATAGCAGGCACCTGTAGTCCCAGCTACTCAGGAGGCTAAGGCAGCAGAATCGCTTGAACCCGGGAGGTGGAGGTTGCAGTGAGCCAAGATCGTGCCACTGCACTCCAGCCTGGGCGACAGAGTGAGACTTTCTCTCCAAAAAAAAGAAAACAAAAAAAAACCGCGCTAAACTAGGAGTCACACGGCCTGAGAGGAGGTCACTCATCAGCTCTGGGCAAATCACCTGTCTATGCGTGTATTTCTTCATCCACCACCCTCAAAAGCTCAGAGGAAGACGGGTAAAAGCGCGAATCTTGTGGCTGCTCGCCTGCACATGCGCACTCCAGGAAGACCAGCAGCCCCGGCTGGAGTTCCGATTGGCTGCACGTGAGGGTCAGTCCTCTGTGACGCCATAGGAGTGCGCCCTCAGTGACATCTTAGGGCGCGCCTTCAGTGACGTCAGAGGCGCGCACTTTCAGCGAAGTCGCAGGCGTGGGCCTTCCGCGACGTCACAGACGGTATAGTGTCTGAAGTTGGTCAGTCTTCTGGCAGTGGAGCCTGGTAACCCCGACCTTCTCTTCAGGTCCTGTGTGTTGCTGGCTGGAGAAGGGTAGTTGACAAACTCCTACCCAGCACAGTGTTTATGTGAGTCAAAAATGGAAAACTGTGTCCGGTCTCTTACCAGGTAGGAGGATCCTTTCAGGCCAAGAGCAGCCTGTTAACATGGCGCGACCCCATCTCTTTGGTCCCACCTCAGCTTCCCAGCTACTTGAACCCCAAGGTTCAAGGCTCCAATGAGCTGTGACCCTACCACAGCACTCCAGCGTGCAAGACTGAGGTAACCCCTGTCTAAAAAAACAAAAAAGAAAACCATCCAAGTGTGCAGCAGGGAGGGACTGCTTAAAGAAAACATGAGGCTGCTTGGGCCCTGTTATCCCAGCACTTTGAGAGGCCGAGGCGGGAGGATGGCTTGGGCTCGGGAGTTCGGGACCGGTCTGGGCTACATGATGAAATCCCGACTCTACAAAAGGTACAAAAATTGAGCGCAGTGCATGTGTGGCCTAAGTTTTATATTTTTTGTAGAGATGGGGGTCTCCCTATGTTGCCCAGGCCGGTCTCAAACTCCTGGGTTCACTGATATTCTTACCTTGGCCCTTCAGACTTGTCAGGATTACAGGCATGAGCCACCGTGCCCCGCCTGGGTTAGGCTATTTAATAACATAAGAAAGTGTTTGGCCTGGCCTGGTGGCTCAGGCCTGTAATCCCAGTACTTTGGGAGGCCGAGGCGTGTGGATCACCTGAGGTCAGGAGTTCGAGACCAGCCTGGCCAATGTGGAGAATCTCGATCTCTACAAAAAAATGTAAAAATTAGCCGGGTGTGGTGACACATGCCTGCAGTCCCAGCTGCTCGGGAAGCTGATACTGGAGAATCGCTTGAGCCAGGAAGTGGAGGTTACAGTGAGCTGAGATCACACCACGGCACCCCAGCCTGGGCGACACATCAAGACTCTGAAAGTTTGAGACTAGCCCAGGCAATGTAGTGAAACCCTTTCTCTACAAAACAAAAAAAGCAAAAAAGCCAGGTGTAACTGTGTCTACCTATGGCCACAGCTACTTAGGGGTCTGAGGCAGGAGGATCACTTGAAGCCAGGAGTTCAAGGCTGCAGTGAGCGATGATCATCCTGCTGCTCTCCATCCGGAGCAATAGAATGAAACCGTTTCTCTAGATAGTTAGCTGGATAGATAGATAATTGATACGTAGTTTTCTTTTTTTCTTTTTCTTTTTTTTTGAGACAGTCTTGTTCTGTCTAGGCTGGGGTGAAGAGATACAATCTTGGCTCACCTGCTCACTGCAACCTCCACCTCCTGGGTTCAAGTGATTCTCCTGCCTCAGCCTCCTGAGTAGCCGGGAATTACAGGCAGGAGCCACCACGCCCGGCTAACTTTTTATATTTTTAGTAGAGGTGGGGTTTCCCAGTTGGTCAGGCTGGTCTTGAAATCCTGACCTTGTGATCCGCCTGCCTCAGCCTCCCAAAGAGCTGGGATTACAGTCGTGAGCCACTGCACCAAGCCGACACGTAGTTTTCTATCAGAAATTGTTTTCCTAGATTTGAACATGTTTTTCTGAAGTAGCATTCAACACATCAGCATTTTACAGTGTTGTTAGTTGTTAATATGATTTTGTTTTTCTGAAATACAGTATCCTTCACAAAAGCAGTTTTGTCTTTCAAAGCACATAGAGAGGCCCTCAAGTGAATTTGTCTCATGTTGATGACCGTGGTACCATTTTGTCCACTTGATTGGAACAGTTAGTCGGTAATTTCAGGTCACTATTGGCCATAGAGGAAGAGCCCAAAGGCAACAAGTAAGGGTGCTGGTGTCCAGTTTCCTTCTAGAAGCATTTTCACCTTCCCTTAAAGTTTCCCTTGATGAACATAGAAGTACTGTGTGTACAATTGACCCAGTGCTGCCCTGGCAACTTTGTATATTAGGCCAAATTTACATTTCTTACCTTTATGAGAAGCACCCTGGTAGGCTAGTGCAGTTATGAAGTCTGATCTCAGCTGCACTGTCCAGAAATGCAACATGGTCCAATCAAATAATATTCTCTGAGCCGTTTTCTTTAGGTGTAAAATAAGAATAACAAGTGTACTCATCTGAAAAGACATCTTATTGTATCTGAGTGGTCTTTTATTTTCTATGAAACTGTCTTTAACACAATATTTTCATTTCAATACCACATTTTTTTTTGAAATGGAATTTGTTTTTGTTTTTATTTATTTGCGATAGAGTCTCGCTGTTGTCACCCAGGCTGGAATGTAGTGGCGTGATCTCGGCTCACTGCAACCTCTGCCTGCCAGATTTAAGTGATTCTCCTGCCTCAGCCTCCTGAGAAACTGGGATATAGGTGGTCATCACCACACCTGGCCAATTTATATATATATACGTGTGTGTGTGTGTGTTTGTGTATATATTTATTTTAGTAGAGATGAGGTTACATCATATTGCCCAGGCTGGTCTCAAACTCCTGACCTCAAGTGATCCACCCACCTCGGCCTCCCAAAGTGCTGGGATTATAGGCATGAGCCACTGAGCCCAGCTCAGTTTTAGACAAGGATTTCTTGGCCAGTCCTGGTGGCTCACTCCTGTAATCCCAGCACTTTTGGGAGGCAGAGGTGGGCGGATCAGCTGAGGTCAGGAGTTGGAGACCAGCCTGACCAACATGGAGAAATGGTGTCTCTACTGAAAATTCAAAATTAGCCAGGCATGGTGGTGCATGCCTGTAATCCCAGCTACTTGGGCCTGGTAATTGAACCCTTCAGACCTGAGGATGAGAAACCTTGCCTCAGTTCTTAACCAGGTGATCAGCCCAGGGGTAAGGAAGGAGATGCTGGAAAAGAGGACCCATGAGAAGGGCCCCCTCCTGGAGTTTGAGTCCCACTCCCTCCTGCCCTGGCCTCTCCTCTCGAGGACTCCTCCCTGCTCTGCCCCACTCCTGGAACCATGGCCATGGGGGTGGGGGTGCATTTGAGTAGAGGCCCCAGTGACAACCCTAAGCCCAAAGTGGGCGTGCTCACCTGCACGGGATCAGAGTAACATGGCAGGAAGGGAGGGTGGAAGCCTCCCTGGAACCACGCCTCTCAGCCACCTCTTGCCACTTGGGTGCATTGTTCCCTCACCCCACTGAGGCAGTGGCATGAGTTCAGTGGGAATGATGTCCAGCTCCCTCTGCTGCCTCTTTTTAGTCTTAGGGCCACCATAACACTTTTCCTTCCCCAGCCCTGCCAACCTGGTGGGACATTGGACTTCCCTCTCCCAGGGTCCTGGGGACAGGCACATCCTGTATCATACCTGCAGAGAGACACTTTTTTTCTCCAGGGCTTGAGGATCAGCCAGGTTCCATGAGTTAAATGCAGATCTGAATCATATCAAGCTGAGATTGGGGCACAACTATCCTCTACTGAAAAGTAGTGAGGGATTCCAACTTGGTGAGAGGGAGAGTGGGGCAGAGCCAGACCAGACAAGAAGTGGCCACCTGGAAAAAGCCTGCCATCAAAGGCCTTGGTGAGTGCTGGGTGTGGTGGCTCACTCCTCAGCACTTTGGGAGGCTGAGATAGGTGGATCACTTGAGGTGAGGAGTTTGAGTACAGCCTGGGCAACATGGCAAAACCCCATCTCTGCTAAAAATACAAAAATTAGCTAGGCATGCTATGCTCCTGTAATCCCTGCTACTCGGGAGGCTGAGCCAGAAGGATCGCTTGAACTGGGGAGGCAGGGGTCGAAGTGAGACGAGATTGCACCACTGCACTCCAGCCTAGGAGACAGAGTGAAACTGTGTCTCAAATAAAAAAAGAAAGAAAGAAAATGGCCTTGGCAGAAGGACAGGCCTGGCAGTGCCTTCCCTTGAGTTTCTGCTGAGTAGGCCTCTGCCATGAGGAGGGGCTTCCTTCTTCCTGTCCATGGCCCACAGCAAAGGAGTGTGTGCTTCTAAGGGGTTGGGTGGGGGACTGTTGACAGAACTGGAAACCTTCTTTGGGTGGGTTTCTTTTTTTTTTTTGTCCTTGTTGTTGAGATGGAGCCTTGCTCTGTCACCCAGGGTGGAGTGCAATGGCACAATCTTGGCTCACTGCAACCTCTGCCCCACCCCAGGTTCAAACAGTTCCCATGTCTCAGCCTCCTGAGTAGCTGAGATTATAGGCATGTGCCACCACGCCTGGCTAATTTTTGTGTTTTTTTTTCAGAGACAGTGTTTCACCATGTTGGCAAGGCTGGTCTCAAATTCCTGACCTCAATTGATCCACCTACCTCGGCCTCCCAAAGTGCTAGGATTACAGGCATGAGCCACTGTGCCCAGCCCCTTCAGGTGGGTTTTGAGGCTTCGTTACAATACTAGTTTCCCGTGGCTGCTGCAAAGAATTACCACACGCTAAATGTCAGTGCTTTTTATAAGGTGAAACAGATTATGTTGTGGGGCTTTTGTTGTGATGGTGATTTATTAGATTATTTAGTTTAAAGACAGTAATGCTCAGGTGTTGTAAAATTATAAAAACAATCTTCACATTTCATATATATTTTTTGAGACAAAGTTTCACACTTGTTCAGTCTGGAGTTGCAATCTTGGCTCACCACAACCTCTGCCTTCTGGATTCAAGAGATTCTCCTGCCTCAGCCTCCCGAGTAGGTGGGACTACAGGTGTGTGTCACTATGCCCAGGTAATTTTTGTACTTTAGTAGAGATGGGGTTTCACCATGTTGGCTAGGATGGTCTTGATCTGTTGACCTTGTGATCTGCCCACCTCGGACTCCCAAAGTGCTGGGATTACAGGTGTGAGCCACCCCTCAGCCCACATTTTATAACTTTAAAGGAGTATTAATGGTAATTGCCTTAGGGAAAGACTGTTTTGTTGTAAAACGTAAGTATGATGTTCAAGTATATTGTACAGCAAAGGACGTTAAACCTAAGTCAGCACTAATGTCTCATATGGTACACTTTAGTACCAATATTAATGTTCAGCAAATTGACCTTAACACATAATGATACCAAAAAAATGGAGCTGTTCTGATGATAGACCATTGGTTTTTTCTGATTTTAATACTCATCATGCTCTTGACTTTTTCTTTTTTGTCTTTGAAACAGAGTCGTGCTCTGTCACCCAGGCTGGAGTGCAGTGGTGTGATCATAACTCACTGCAACCTCCACTACTCAGCTTCAAGCGATCCTCCCACCACAGCCTCCCTAGTAGCTGGAACTACAGGCGATTGCCACCACACCTGCCTGATTTTTGTATTTTTAGTAGAGATGGGGTTTCACCATGTTGGCCAGGCTGGTCTCAAACTCCTGACCTCAGGTGATGCACCTGCCTCAGCCTCCCGAAGTGTTTGGGTTACAGGCATGAGCCATTACATTTGGCTACCTCTTGACTTTTTATAGCTGTTATGTTATTTTAATCTTAAGTAAATAAATGCTAGCTGAAATTATACAGTTCAGGAGAATCTTCTGCTTCCGTTACTAAAAAAAATTATTTTTATAAGTCCAATAAGGTTACACTAATGTTTATGTTTGGAAAATATTACCTTTTCCAGCCAGGCATGGTGGCTCACGCCTGTAATCTCAACATTTTGGGAGGCTGAGGTGGAGGGATCTCTTGAGGTCAGGAGTTCTAGACGAGTCTGACCAATATGGTGAAACCCTGTCTCTACAAAAATACAAAAATTAGTCCGGTGAGGTGGTGGTGAGCACCTGTAATCCCAGCTACTCAGGAGGCTGAGACAGGAGAATTGCTTGGACCCAGGAGGTGGAGGTTGCAGTGAGCCGAGATACTGCCACTGCACTCCATTCTGGGTGACAGAGCAAAACTCCATCTCAAAAAAAAAAAAAAGAAAAGAAAATATTACCTCTTCCATTTAGTACTATATGTATTAAATAATATTAGCTGGTATGTTTTTATGGCTTTATGGGTTCGGATTTCTGTAGATATTCTGGCTGTATCTACATTGCCTTAAAGTAATGGAATATTTCTTTTGTTTTTGTTTTGTTTTGTTTTTCAGCTGGAGTTTCGCTCTTGTCGCCCATGCTGGAGTGCAATGGTGTGATCCTGGCTCACTGCAATCTCTGCCTCCCAGGTTCAAGTGATTCTCCTAGCTCAGCCTCCTGAGTAGCTGGGATGACAGGCACCTGCCACAGCACCTGGCTAATTTTTGTATGTTTAGTAGAGATGGGGGGTTTCACCATGTTGGCCAGGCTGGTCTTGAACTCCTGACTTTGTGATCTGTCTGCTTTGGCCTTCCAAAGTGTTGGGATTACAGGTGTGAGCCACCATAGCCAGCCTGTCGTTTCTTTTCAAAGCCACCCTTGGTGATGAAATGTAAAATATGCACTAGTGGATATTACTTTGCTGTATATTGCCTAGTGAGTATTAATATTTATTCTCACCTTTCAGACATGGACTTATGAATTCAACATGTGAAGATTTACAAATTGATAAACAAGATTTTCAGGAGGTAGGTGTTCAGTCTTAAGTCAGATTAGAAGATTATGTGGAATAATTATTGAATGCTTAACAATGATTTTTTTTAAATGATACCTTCCACATGAAATACTATCCCTCTAACTTTTAATTATGTTCCAGGACAGGGGAATTCATGTTGTCAAAATTCTAATACACTCTAGAACAAGAAACTCATTTTCTTTTTATTAACCCATTATAAATACATGTAAATATTGCGTTTATGGGTAGACAGAACTAAAAGAACAATGTTCTACTTTTGATATGCAAGATTTATCTGGTGTAATGCATTATTGAAGTTTATTATTGAAGTCTACACTAGTCAACCGAACAAGCATTCATCAAATGTCCATGATACCCAGGACATAAGAAGGTTCCTTTTAGAATATGGAGCTATGAATATCATCTCTTAATTGTTACGTGTGTTTTGAAAGAAATAGAAATATAATTGATTTTCTTTCTTGTTTTGGCTGTGGAGTGGAGTGCGGACAGAAAAGAATGGAATCACACTGTTTAGATTTACTAAAATGGAAGGATTGCCAGCAAGATCGTATCCCTAGTCTCCCCATAGCAAATGGCACCAGCTAGCTGTTCTTCTTTTTTTTTTTTTTTTTTTTTTTTTTTGAGATGGAGTTTTCCTCTGTTGCCCACACTGGAGTGCAGTGGTGTGATCTCAGCTCACTGCAAGCTCCATCTCCTGGGTTCAAGCAATTCTCCCTGCCTCAGCCTCCCAAGTAGCTTACGCCTGCCTAATTTTTTATTTGCAGTAGAGTTTGGTTTTCGCCATGTTGGGCCAGGCTGGTCTGGAACTCCTGACCTCAGGTGAGCTGCCAGCCTTGGCCTCCCAGAGTGCTGGGATTACAGGTGTGAGACACCGTGTCCTGCCTGCTAGTGGTTCTTGAGCATACTGTGTTCTGCTTTTTCCTAGCTTTAATGAATGTCTGGTTCTTCCCTTTTTTGTGCAGTGTGTGTCAGCATTGTTTCAGTAATACATTCTGGATCTTAGAAATTTTATTAGTCACAGGTGCCGAGCACGGTGGCTCACGCCTGTAATCCCAGCACATTGGGAGGCCAAGCTGGGTGGATCACAAAGTCATGAGATCGAGATCATACTGGCTAACATGGTGAAACCCCTTCTCTACTAAAAATGCAAAAAATTAACCGGGCATGGTGGCAGGCACCTGCAGTCCCAGCTACTTGAGAGGCTGAGGCAGGAGAATGGCGTGAACCTGGGAGGCGGAGCTTGCAGTAAGCTGAGATTGCGCCACTGCACTCCAGCCTGGACGACAGAGAGAGACTGCATCTCAAAAAAAAAAAAAAAAAAAAAATACTAGACACAGGAAAAGAAAAATACTGTCTATTTTACCTATTTTATAATAATATTTAATAACCCAAGTTATTAAATCCGTTAGATTGAGAAAACTTGTATTCCTGTGATTTCAATAGTGAAGGTAGTATGGTATGCCAGAATCACTAAATTAAGAAAGATGGTGGATCAGCTTTTTTGCAAAAAAATTTCGTAAGTCTGTTTTTTTCGCCTTCAACTAAATTATATTACTGAGTAGTGTTTTTTATAATGTTGTTTTATTTTAGGAAAGTAAATACAATGAGTAGGACTCAGCTCCAGTTTTCTCTTACTGTTTCGTTTTTGAGACAGAGTTTTGCTCATGTTACCCAGGCTGGAGTGCAGTGGCTCAGTCTCAGATCACTGCAACCTCCACCTTCCAGGTTCAAGCAATTCTCCTGCCTCAGCCTCCCAAGTAGGTAGGATTGCTGGCACCTGCCAACATGCCCGGCTAATTTTTGTATTTTTAGTAGAGATGGGGTTTCAGCATATTGGTCAGGCTAGTCTTGAACTCCTGACCTCAGGTGATCCACTCACTTCAGCCTCCCAACATACTGGGATTATAGCCATGAATCACCATGCCCAGCCTCTCATACTGTGTTTTTTTTTTGTTGTTGTTGTTTTGTTTGTTTGTTTTTTTGAGATAGAGTCCAGGCCGGAATGCGGTGGTGTGATCTCAGCTCACTGCAACTTCTGCCTCCTGGGTTCAAGTGATTCTCTTGCCTCAGCCTCCTGAGTAGCTGAGATCACAGGCATGTACTACGACACCCAACTAATTGTTTTTTTTTTTTTGTATTTTTTGTGGAGATGGGGTTTCACCGTGTTGGCCAGGCTGATCTTAAACTCGTGATGTTGAGTGATCCACCTGCCTTGGTCTCCCAAAGTGCTGAGATTATAGGTGAGAGCCACTGCACCCAGCCAGGAGTGGATTACTTTTATGATTCACATTTTTAGACCATATAGAACAACTTCCTGACGTTGCCATGGCATTTGTAAACTGCCATGCTGTTGGTGGGAGTGTAGCAGTGAGGATAACTAGAGGTCACTCTCATTGATATCTTGGTTTTGGTGGGTTTTGGCTGGCTTTTTATTACTGCAACCCATTTTATCAGCAAGGTCTTTATGACCTGTATATTGTGCTGACCTCCTCCCTCATCCTGTGACTTAGAATGCCTTAACCATCTGGGATTGCATCTCAGTAGGTCTCAGCCTCATTTTACCCAGCTCTTATTTAAAATCGAATTGGTCTCATTCAAACGCCCCTGACAGTATTGCTGCTTTCTTTACGGTTCCTGAAAGGGAGAGAGGAAATCTTAGATTTTTCATGGCTGTGAACCACTGCCAGTATTGAGGAAATATTTACTACTTCCAGCCTCATAATCCTGAGGTCATTTGGCACCTGTGAGTCAGGTGCAGTGGGGAGCTGCCCCATACATTCTGGAGCATTCAGTTTGGTGGGGAAACGTGAGTAGTAAGTAGAAGATATTTACCATCTAAGGTGTTAAGGTCTGGGATAGAATTAAGTAGAATAAGGGGATGGGAAAGCAGGGGGTGTGATTGGGGCAGTCTTGAGAATATGTGAGGAGCACATTCTGCAGTTGGCCTCACCTCTTTCTAAAACTTCCACTTTTCACTCTCAACTTCAACAATTGGTTCTTGTTTATTTTATAGAAAGTTTGTGAGAATTAGGTTTATATATTTTCTTGTTGAATTAACGAATAATTTTATTTAACATCACTCTCTAGTGGAATTGAAAGCTTCTAATCCTTTACTGTTATTTGTTTATGGGCATATTTGTTTTTACAGCTATGATAATTATTTCATTTTGTGTGGTTTCTCAAAAACATGTGTGTTTCTTACATCAAAGAGTTCCTATAGTAGAGTCCTTCAGATTTGGTGCTAATAACATGAAGTAAGAATTTAAGGCAAGTCTTGAGATGTTAGAGGAAAGCCAATCTAAGAACAAATAAATTAATTACTAATTTATTTTGAGTTGACATTTAAGTTGAGGTGTAGAGTTGGAGGAGACAGATAAATGAGTTTGGAAATAAGGAGAAAGATCAGGGAATAGGTATAGTTTTAGATTGTATAGTGGTGTTTTCATAGCAGTTGTTGATACCGCCAAAATAATTCATCAGTGAGGTCCCTGACAGCTCCCCGACCTTTCCTTTTAAAGAAACAGGGTTGGCCAGGAGTGGGGACTCACGCTTGTAATCCTAGCATTTTAGAAGGCCGAGGCAGGTGCATCACCTGAGATCGGGAGTTTGAGACCAGCCTGACCAACATGGAGAAATCCCGTCTCTACTGAAAATACAGAATTAGCTGGGTGTGGTGGTGTGTGCCTGTAATCCCAGCTACTCGGGAGGCTGAGGCAGGAGAATCACTGGAACCTGGGAAGCAGAGGTTGCAGTAGGCCGAGATCACACCATTGCACTCCAGCCTGGGCAACAAGAGTAAAACTCCATCTCAAAAAAAAAAAAAAAACAGAGAAAAAGAAACAGGGTCTTGTTATGTTGTCTGGGCTCGACTAGAAGTCCTGGGCTCAAGTTATCCTCCTGCTTCAGTCTCCTAAGTAGCTGGGGCTACAGGCACATGCCAGCATGCCCAGCTTTGAGCCACTGCCACCTATCATGTTGCAAAATATTTAAATGTTACATTATAGAGGTGCAAGGGAGATCTGTATATAAACAGCACCATGTAAATTGCTTGAATCCTTTTTTTTTTTTTTTTTTGTTTCAACGTGTTTTAATGACATTTAGTAAGTGACTTAAAATTTTCACCTACTTCGTTGTATTAGATGTGTTGGATTAGATTGTCTCTCTTTTTTTTTTTTTTTTATTTATTTATTATTATTAAACTTCAAGTTGTAGGGTACATGTGCACAACGTGCAGGTTTGCTACATATGTATACTTGTGCCATGTTGGTGTGCTGCACCCATCAACTCGTCATTTACATCAGGTATAACTCCCAATGCAATCCCTCCCCCCTCCCCCCTCCCCATGATAGGCCCCGGTGTGTGATGTTCCCCTTCCCGAGTCCAAGTGATCTCATTGTTCAGTTCCCACCTAGGAGTGAGAACATGCGGTGTTTGGTTTTCTGTTCTTGTGATAGTTTGCTAAGAATGATGGTTTCCAGCTGCATCCATGTCCCTACAAAGGACACAAACTCATCCTTTTTTATGGCTGCATAGTATTCCATGGTGTATATGTGCCACATTTTCTTAATCCAATCTGTCACTAATGGACATTTGGGTTGATTCCAAGTCTTTGCTATTGTGAATAGTGCTGCAATAAACATACGTGTGCATGTGTCCTTATAGCAGCATAATTTATAATCCTTTGGGTATATACCCAGTAATGGGATGGCTGGGTCATATGGTACATCTAGTTCTAGATCCTTGAGGAATCGCCATACTGTTTTCCATAATGGTTGAACTAGTTTACAATCCCACCAACAGTGTAAAAGTGTTCCTATTTCTCCACATCCTCTCCAGCACCTGTTGTTTCCTGACTTTTTAATGATCGCCATTCTAACTGGTGTGAGATGGTATCTCATTGTGGTTTTGATTTGCATTTCTCTGATGGCCAGTGATGATGAGCATTTTTTCATGTGTCTGTTGGCTGTATGAATGTCTTCTTTTGAGAAATGT